CTTTATAAGCATGCACGACAGCTGAATTAGAAATCTTTAGCCCAAACATACACAAAGAATACCCCTGCAAAGCTTTAGCTTCCTGTCTTGTCTGGTTCGTGAAATCGTTTCCTGCCAAAGAAATTAGCATATTTTTTTTCAGGCGCCTTTACTCGCGATCTAGACGCGTACGAGCGAAGATTTTACAACGGGAGGGTGAATATCACCTCTAGATTAGGATGAGTTGTTGCGCTTGATCAGATTCGTTAATGATTAAATGAAGATGCTCTGCGTGAAATTGTCAAAGTATATTGTAATACCTCCGGTAAATTTTAAAAAAAAATACTTCACTGAGCGGCTGCAGTCACGGAACGCACTACAACCAGATCGAAAGATGCCAAAAAATGAAACTAACACGTATCGAAGGGCAAAACCGGATTTGGCGCAGGCGCACGAGCGCAATAGACACCGCAATCGAGAACAACAGAGGAATGCCTGTTGATTGTTTGCATTGCATTTTCACGAAGTTGTCGAATTGCTGACATTCGTTCCAAGATTGACAACATCCCGGGAATTTGCCGACTATCTTCCAGAACATAGCAGTATAACTCCTGCAAACAACTACAACTACCATTCCCACCTGGAATCTTCACCAATACTGCAACTGATATTCACTCCTCTAATTGCTGTATTCCTTCTGCTAAAAGTACGGACAAATAGACGGGTGGAAACTAATTTGGAATTGAGTTAATACATAAACAGAGAGATAGTAAGTTAAAACCAGCAACAGCTAATCAACAGATTAAATCACTTCGGCCGCACCGAACACACTGACCACCCATCTTTTTGCCGGTCATTCTAGTAGTTTATTCCAGGAGCGATGTATGCCCGTATCTAAATTGTATTTGTTGCCCTCTTCCCTACTCCCCTCTTAATCACATCTTAATTACCAAAGAAGAATCGTAAATCCTAGACTAAATTGCGCTAACTGAACCAACAGCCTTAACTGATTGGAGCAGCCATGACTGCTGCACAGAAAGAAATTTAAAAAAAAAAGAACGCACCTCCACAAAACTGTTGGAAACCGGGTCAAGAAAAAATCGCAAACCAAGAATCTGCACCCAAAAATCCAGAAAGGCAACTACTCGTCGTTTTGCGACAATTTTATGCTCGAAATCATCTAGCGGCAGTGTGATATCGGTTCGAACCTGCGATAAAAAATGCGAATTACAAATCATGGATTTTTCAGGTCCACTATCAAGAAAATTTTAAAGTAGTCCCACGACTCTGAAAAAACTTATCACCCAAATGTAAACATAGTGCCTTTTTGTGTATTTTTACATAAAGAGCAAAAACGCAACTATCCAGAGATTGTCGATGCGTGAATGTATGCGTGTATGTATTTATGTGTAAATGTTTGTATGTGTATGTGTGTGCACGTGTGTGTATGTAGGCGGGGGGTTAGGAGGAGGGAGGGGGAGGGGATGATCAGGAAGCTGGGATTTCAAAAATGCTCTCAGCCCACGTGCAGTCCAAACAGCTTAAAATCAGCGTTCAATTACTTTTGAGTCCCTCATACGGACGCCTAGAAAAATTCATGAAAATTTTTTGGCGGGAAAGCGGTATTGAGTCGAAGGAAATTTGCAGAATGACCTCTGTTGTGTAGAAGTAGCGTAAAGCGCAATAAGATTGGGAAATTAATTTTAGGCTACTTGCCCTACAATTAATTGTCTGAAATGCAGTTTTATTTTCAGCATTCCAAGCATATTTGTTCTCGGTTTATAGCAATGGTCTAATTATGTCTCTAGGGTCCTGAGGTAGGACGCTAAATGGCATCAAACGCGTTTTCAGTACTGCAGATCTGCAGAGGTCGAAAAATGCGTTTTCACTTTTAGTCTTCATAGCTTTTGTAGTTCTGCGATTTCATTACTTCATATATAGCGAGATAACACGGACACATAGCCGGCAGCCTATTCTCATCGCAATGCATTTTAAATCATAAAAAAAAATGCAAAAAATTTAATTAA